GGGGGGGGGGGGCGAAGCCCCCGGGGTCGGCGAGCGAAGCGAGCAGGGGGCGAAGCTCCCTAGTCTATTAATAATGGTAATTGTCAACAATAAGCCCTCTCCTGAAAAAAATTAATTTATATTTATAATTTCATTATTTCTGTTTCTTTGCTCGATCCAATGTATGCCAAATTAAGTCAATAATACCTTGGAGCCTCTAAATTATTTTTTCAGTATTTGCTCGAAACAGAAATTGCATCACGCTTTGCGTTACCCAGGATCACGAACGAAGACGTGGTGATGCTCGATCTCGAAGAAGACCTAGCACACCACAATCAATCATATCAAGGGCAACAGATTGAAGAATCGGATCTGTGTATCCGCCGTTCTCCTCATAGGACAATAAATAGTGAAAAATAAATAGCGAATATGATGGAGATGAGTATTTTGGTAACTGACTGTCAGTTTCCCCTATACCCCGACTAAGAGTTCCACAATCCCAACTTGACTCGGGTGTTGCTATCCCTGAATAATCAGGGAGTCATGGGTGGCAGTGACCCAGGTTATATTTCTCTGGATTTGCCTAGATAGCTCCTCCACCCTTCCTTGGTGGTATTAAATAAATAATTATAAATTTCAAACCAAATTAAATCTGATGTATATTATCATACATATATATTCGTATATTGCATACGAATTGGAATGAGTGATACACCAGATGACTCAATCCATCAAAACACCGCGGAAGCAAGAACCGTATCGGGAAACTTCAAATCGATAGATGCACCACAATTTTATAGGCTAATCGGGGTCGTAATAGTTGCTAACGAGTCGGAAAAATGTGGAAATCCTGTCTGGTTTGGGGGTAGATTATATGAAAATAAACTTACTCAGTTTAATCCCCACAGTCCCCTCCCTTATTTCGTATTTGGGTGCTAGTTGTCTCAGCTCTCTCCATGCACGCTCCACCAGTTGTGTCTGTGCACCAGTTAATCTCTCCACATGTTTGACACTGTGATTCACAGGATAATGTATGTATCCATTATCCCGCAAAGTCACATAACTTGCCCAACAGGCATCACGGATCCACGTTTCACAAACTGTTTGATCTTGGATATGAGTAACTGCGCTGAACGGTCGGGCACCGTGACGACTATGAATCTCCGCGTCACCCTGTCGTGCATACCCAACACCCACTGGCTTGTGACTGACCGACCCCTTGGTATGTCACCCTTGGTATGGCATCTCACTCTCTCCTTCACATGCCATCTCCGCGCCCGCCTGACTTCCCCAACCAGATCCGCCTTCGTCCCGAGTGTCCCTCCTCATCAGCAGCACTTCCTTCAACAACCCACTAATCACCTTCAACTCGTTCAGCATACATTCTTTCTACTCTTTATCGTCCGCCACCCACTTATTCCATTCTCCCTCCGACATTCTTCACTCTAACCTCTCTTTCTGACCCGGCCACGTGTATCACAATTCGCAATTACTTTCCCACTGCTTGCTGTTCCCGCAACGCACTCTTCCCCTCGATCCTATGCTTCACCATAGCTTCCAGCCTACCCTAACCTCTCCACCTTCACTTACCCTGATTCCAGTTTCACCTGTTCCTGCCTTTTACTGCGACTCACTTCAGACCATAAGCCTCTAGTTGCCATGTTTTCCCTGTTACTCCATAACCTCTCCATCATCTTCCCGTTCCTCCTCGTTACACCACTTTTCCATTTTCCCCCTCACTTTCAACCTCTTTCCATTCCTCAACCCTTCCTATCTCAACCACTCCATGATTTCCCTCTCCCTTACTCCTAGAAATCTCTCTTGCCGACCGCCTTTTCAGAGCCCATAAAAGCCAGAACCTCTTCGATCCCTGTCCACTCCGTTGCCCCCTTCAAAGAGACTATCTTTGTATGAATATTTGAAATAGTTCATGATGTTTTGGTATATCACGAGAGAGAAAAAAATTGAGATATATACCAACAATAAATAGTTTGAAAAATCCATGCATAGCTGGACTTGGGTATCTAAAGAATATGTGCGCATCAAATTTAAGCTCAATCGATTTAAAAATGATACACTTGCACCGCTTTGAAGGTTCAAACAATGTTTCATCCGTTTTGACCACTTCTACGTGACGAAAATCGCCGGTGGCGGCTTCAATATTACTTTATACCGACCCTCAATAAGTACCAAAAGCTGTAAGCTCAATCCTATCCGAATCCCGGGACTTTCAAATTTCACCGCGGTCTCCCCTTAAATGGCCAGTCCACGGTCAGGTAGATAGGTTGTTGAATATTATCTCTTCTTTGCTGTACGATAAGACAGTGGTTAATCAGGCCTCCGTCTTTTTCCAAAAATAAAATATTCTATCACCAAAAATGTTAGAGAAACGAGCGGGCTGGGTTCTGTTAATTATTGAAATAATACACACGCGACAATTACTAAATAATATTGTTTATTTTTAATCTAGTTTCTCGAAGTTGAAATCAAACGCATTCATTTCGATACAGAAGGTATCAGATTAATGCTGATAATGGCTGTCGTCAAGTTACTGGCCCAAAAACAATAGTCTCTCGAGTATTTATTTCATCGAGAGACCATGACATCTCGATCATTGCCTCATCGGCATGGTCTTATGATAATCCCATGCGACTGAGCCCAATGGAAACTGCTGATGGTGTTTCAGTGCGTTACCTTTTATTGCGAATATACGTGTCCTTCAGTGCAAGTATATTTTCGATTGATTAAATATTTTTTAATTTCATGTTTTGATTCTGAAAAATATGTGCTACTTACGTTTGCCTATATTCCAGAATGATTCGGAAATGATACTCCATGTTTTGGAGCATAACACTACGTTTTATGCGTATTGCATGTACAATACATTCCTTACATAAAAAATTGGAATAATGGACTAATGACCCAATCTTGGGCATGTGATTGTAGAATCATGATCATCTAGAAATACTTTTATTGGTGCTGAGGCATACCTCACTGATTGCCGAGTATTTTTCAAATTTCTTCGTAATGGAGATGTTTATAAGAATTTGTCCGAAAAACCTTTTTGGAGAAAACTTGCGGCAAACGAGGCTATTCGGTCTTTGTCCTCGAAAATTATTAGTTACAGAGCAATTTCTGTAACAATTCTTATGACTATTCTTCCAACAATTTCTCAAAAGATCGGTGTATAACTTGTTCTCAGGTTCAACGTAATGAGACTTTGGGTGCCACACATGTTTATGGTTATCAACAATTTTGATTCCACCATGTGGGATTGGTCGCTCGGTAACCCAACCATGTGCGATTACTTGTCGAGAGCTGTAATCTTCGAGAGTCCAACCAACGATACACTCTATGTGAATGACTGTGCTCAGGTAATTCAGAGATATATATAAATCGAATATAAACAGCAGTAGATAACAGAGGAGAATTATGGAAACATCGGTATCTTGCAACCAGAAACAATGATCTACCCGAATAGTCGATCAATTCATTCAAAGGTGACTCACAATCTTTTTCTTCCTCACATATATTCTATCTTCTAGTTGAACGAACGGTACGTTGGTAAGTTATGACGTTCGTCAACATTTAAGAGATACTCTCAGCCGTTTCGTGGAATTGCAGTATAGATGCTTAAACAGGAATTTCGTCTGTCACGGACATTAAACAACGTGGATTCATCAAAATTTGAGTAATTGGTGGTGCCTCTGCCCAAGAAATTTATCATTATTTATAGAGGAGTATTGACAAGACTGTGTACTCTGTATTTGCGATGAAATATTGGGTGAAACGTTTTTGCGAAAAGCTGTGGGATATTAGTAAAGGCCGAGATAAAGCATACAATTTTTATTCCGAGTATCATAAACGAGTTAAAGTTGTGAGGTTGGTACTTGTTAATACAATGAACTTATGGGAAATGGAACTTACCCTCTGGGAAGAGGGAACATCGAAGTATAATATGCATCGTATTGTGCTTGAGATTTGACTCATAATTTGACTCCAGAAACTCAAACATCGTGATTTAAGCATCACAAAGCAATCCACAGCTACTAACCCGAAATCCACACGTACTCTGCCAGACGCTGACGTTGAGTAAAAGTTGGGTCCATCTGACGACCCGAATTATCCTACCCATTCCTAATATTGGCTGGTTACTGAAGAATCAGTAACCATCGCCCTTACTCCTTTGATCTTTCACGTTGCCATTATGGCTGCTTCTCTGTCTTGAAGAAGATAATGGGTGATGTTATATTTCAGTCTTTAGTTAAGTTTGAGTGGATTCATCTAATGAAAAGCATCAGGCTCTGTATCTGATTATCCTAATGGAAATAATCAAATTGAAGTAGAGCTGTCTACTACGGTTTCGGTCAACGTAAGGAAACACATGAGAGGAAACACTGTTTATTACAATTTCTGTGAATTATGGACATATTCAACGATACGATATAATGACTTTATTATATGTATTTGGGGCGAAATAAATGATAAAAAGATACGAAGCAAAAGACTCGTCCGCAGGCTAGCAACGAAGAGATGAAAGAATAACGAGAAAGAAAGAGACGATCATACATGAAGGTGGTTGAGAGGAAGGAAAACAATAAACACACAACACTACTTCCTTTCTTAAAAACTTGTGGCCCTGAGAACAATGCGCCTGTTAAAGGCCATTGTAGTAGAATTTGAGTTAATCAGTAAATTAAATAATATGTCTATTATCTTAATTATCCCTTAACCCAATTCTCTTTCAAAAATCCAGATGGAAAGTGAAGGAAAGGGAGCATGTTTGGTTGGACATAACTCATATGATATGGACGCGAGATTTTTCTTTATCAATTCTTCACAAGTATTCCAGGTAGCACATCGACGTTCCTAATTTCCTCGAAATTTATTATTGAATGTAGGGATATCTTATTGGGCATATTTAATTAAAAGAAATGAGTCTTACCAAGGATAAATAAATAGGAGAGATAATTTTGCCGAGAATAAATGAACAAAAATAAATGGTAGGAAGTGAAATAGGGAATAAGGAAGTGATCTTCCCGAGGATCACTGAATTAAAAAAAATAAATCATCTAAGATTGTTTGTGGCGATCGACTAAAACGAAATTAATTATAAGGATACAAATACCTGCTGAGCGCAATCATTTCTCAAAAGAAGTAGGTCGGAATATGAACGACCTTCAGCTGAAAATGGATTGATATTCGAATCCGATAACGTATTTCGTTTGATTTTTCGTGAATCACAGATACATCGATAATGAATGGAGCAATTCCTGTCTATCGTGGGAGTTTTTTTCTTCCTCAAATAATTTTTAATTCAGTATTATTTTAATTTGGGACGAATACTTTTGAAGTGTTACAGGAAGTGCAGCGCATTAATTGCTGTACGTTGTCTGCAAAAGTTTTTAAATCATTTTTTTTATCTAATCACGAATGCGCAATTGGAAATGATGAACGTGGTGAAATAGTGATTTTCATTACTTCCAAACGAAAAATAAAATTGCCACTCAATTTACTAATATTTGCTCAATTTGTAGCTGCAAGTATCTCAAAAATTGTTTGAAATCGATCGCGAAGGGAAGAAAATGAATATGAGGTAGAAAATATACTCAAGTACACATTTTCATTCGTAATGACGCCAATAACATGTTCATATTGTGACCACGGTATTGCAATATCATGAACTCGTGACTGGTTTACATTTTGTTTGGGAGTAGCGAAGAGAAGTGAGTTGAGAGGAGGATTTCTGGAGGCAGAGAAGTTGGTTAGGAAGAGTTTGATTAAACGTATTGGATTGTTGTGTAAGGGGTGAGTTAGGATGTGCAGAAATGAATTTATCTCTTCCTTTTTCTTGACGAGACCGAACGCGCGCTTGAGCGCACGGAAAATGAATGATCCTTGATTATATTATATAAACTAATGTATGTAGGCCTGTGTGATACGAATGATTGAATATATATGTGTTATACATATATGTCCAATTCGTTCGAAAATATTTCATGTTAATAATGCACAGGAATTTTCGAATGAATAAAATGATGCGCCCTTTTGGTGCGCATGATCTTATCAGTTGTTTAAATATTGTTGCAGATTATGAAATCAATGGTACAATTCAGTGTATACATAATTTTTTACGATATCATTGACTCGTTGAGCACCTAAGAATATTTGTAATGAAGTCCATGATCGAACTCGTGAAAATGCAACGTATAGTTGACCGTGGTTGAAAACATCTTTTCGAAGATCAAGGCCAATTTTATTGAATGTTTGTCTTTGACTTTTGTTAATAGTCATGGCGAAAGCCAATTTTATTGGGAATTGACGGCGTTTGAACGTAAAAGGATAAATATCTTCGCAGTATAACGTGATGCGGTGTATGAAAACTATAGCTCCTGATCTATCACCTGTGAGAATCCGACATTTCAAAAGATTATTCGCCAGTTCTAATATTTGTAATCGTGTGCCATTACATAACCCTTCGTTTATGCTGAGGTTGCGAATAAGCATGACAATGCAATTATTTCGCAATCTCAATTCATGGGGTGGAAAACCGGGTGGGCTTAAAGTATTCAAATACTCTGGTACAATGGCATCGGAAATATCTCCATTATCACAATTATCAATACTGTCAACGCTAGTATAGATTTTCTCGGATTCTTTATCGAATAACTCTACAACTCTACTGTTAATTTCATCCACATCAATATTCCGTGCAGATAGTACTGCAACATTAGCAAACTCACCAAATCTTCGGTCCTCTATCAGGTTTTTGAATGTGGCGTCAACGATGTTATCTGTTCGTGGAGCTACACACTGTTGTGGAGCTAACAAATTATTATTGTTATCATTTGCAACTCCATCACCAACAGATAAAAGGTATTTCGAAAATTCTGCTTCTCCTGGAAGTGCTCGCATGTTTTCAGTCAAAGAAAACATTGAAAAATGTCTCCATAATGCACTGAACTTGATGGATAGATTGACCATCTCGCTGCGAGTTGCATGAGTTTTCACAGGTAGTAGTTGTCTGAAATCGCCGCCCAGATTACAACTTTTCCGTCAAATGGTAAATTCACATTCATCAAGTCACGGAGTGTTCGATCAACTAACTCTAAGGCATACCTCGGTGCCATGGGGGCTTCATCCCAGATGAACACATCAACACTTTTCAAATACTCAGCTTCTTTGGATTGACTTTTGATATTTCCTACAGAATCGGAAAAAAGAGGTACAGGCATACCAAAAGTTTTATGAACAGTCTTTCCATGTGGAAGCAATATTGCCGCAATTCCAGTGAAAGCCATCGTGCAAACGCTTTTGGAGCTCCCTGTTAATAAGTGGTAGATTGTGGTGTAGATGAACGTCTTGCCAGAACCCCCAGGTCCATCAATATAGAAACATGTATTCGTTTGTCCTGTTGAGTTGGATGATATAACTTTTAAAATTTCATCTACAATTTGTTTTTGTTTAACATTTAGCTTTTTGTACTGATCGCGGCCAATTTTTTTCATTCTGTTCAAGTTCTTCTTCAACTGGCTCATCAATATTTGCTACAAATTCTTCAATCTGAGGCATATCAGGAAAACGACTTATGTCTGAACCTTCTTCGGTGAGGAATACCTTTATTTGGGCATAAGCTCTGAGCTCTGCTTCATGAGCCTCACAATTTCTTTGATAATCTTGAGGCATCTTTGAATTTCTCCCAAAGCATGTCTGGATAATTGGGATGACAGTAAATCAATATCCGAACGAATAATCGTCGAAGTTGTAAGGACATCATCCAAGTTTCTCCTTCAACCATTGCACGTTCCCATTCTGTGTCATCCGCGATTAGACCCATTGCTAAACAGGCACCATGGAATGTATCACAACGTTGTCCATCAACTGTTGTAAGTTCTTCAATACTTGTTGCTCCTTTCACTTTTATCAGTAATACACGAAGGTGAAACAATTCAATTTGACTCGGTGCTACGGAGTACATTCGTCCAATCACATTAAAATGTGCTTTCCGTTTCCTCCATTTACCCTTATTAGCTCCTTTTGCTTTTTTGAATACATAATGAGATGGGGTTTCTGCATATGTAAATTTTCTTGCCTCTGGATCTCGCTGATTCAGAGCGAAATAATCAATCAACATTGTCGTTTTTTCCAGAGCATCTTGTATAGCTCCTTCATCAGCCGTATCAATGAACGTTACAGTTTGTTGATTAGGTAAGTGCACAGGTAATCTCATAACGGAATGACTCTTGTCTTGTAAGGAGTGACTCAATATGCGATCACAAGCTTCAACAGGACTAACATATCTAGTTTCGAGAAAATTGCGAATTTCATCGTGTTCAATTACGTTCTCAGTATTACCCGAATCGGATACTTCAATAGCAGCAGCATCGTGTCCTTTCGTTACACATTTATACAGGTACTTCACAGCCTTAATACTACTTACGGCTTCTACATTGATGTGGCAGTTGTATAAGTTCATTAATTTACGATTGTGTGGTACTACATATTGATTGTCTGATGTACTTCCATTCAGGCGATTATAAACACCTGTGTTCCTACGGCGATAAGACGGGTATCCATTTTCATCCATAATTGTCTCTTCCTAGAAGTCTTTGGGAAAATGTTTTGTACACTTGCCTTTTTCATCCTTACACCAATTACCACATGGGCCATGAATCATATGTTTCATCACAGCTTGATGTAAAATGGGATCATCATTAGGATCTGGAATTTCTGCAGAAATGTATTTATCAACAGCATCAGGGGTGACTATCTTGTGATCGGCTTTCAACGTCAATAATAAATGGACATGAGGCAAACCACGTTTTTGATATTCAACAACCCATACATATGCACGTACTTGACCAAATAATTTATCATTCACGATAGTTTTTCTAATCAGATGGTCTTTTTTTTGGTTGAACACGCGAGCGACAATATCTGGTCGATCAGATGCGGTTTGCCCGGGCACCAAATTTTCCTTGATTTCACGCCAGTTAGGATTACATGTCATGGTTATGAATAAATCAGGTTTAACAAATTTTCTCACAATGGTCATAGCATCTTGATACAATTGCACCATATTGCGAGGGGAGCCAATGAATGATGAAGGGAGAATGACCATTTTTCCAACTTGAGCATTTCTATCATTTGCCCTCCTCTGTAAATGATCTTTTAAGCCCTGATAACTATCAGCACGCAATTGCTTTTGATTCCATTTTCACATAAGTTATTCTGTCTTTTTCGACCTTGACGTAACTATCGACTGCCCACTGCTGAAAAAGTCTGCCGCCTTTAAGGATCACATTATCGCCTCGATCAGCCATCCCGAGTCGAATATCTGGACCTATTCCCCCCTATTACCTCCTCGAGTCGAATATCTGGACTTTATTCTCCCCTATTACCTCCTCGAGTCGTATATCTACCTTATTCGCCCCTATTACCTCCTTGAGATATTTTTTCCTTCTTTCTTCATCCTATACATCCTGAACAACTCCTTATATGAACCTGCGTCATCCTAAAGGCGTAAAAACCCTTCTCAACTGATACTTTTTTTCCCCTTCTCCTCCTGTCGAATGAAAAGGAATCGCAAATCGCCTGAATTAACCCTGATAGCCAGGATGATCTGTTTGCAGGTTCTTTCCAGGGGGGATGGAGTGGAAAACATTTTAGGCGGTGCAGGCGATAAATACGTTTAACATACCTTCTGTTTTCCTCCTGAATCCTCGGGATTTGGAAATAACTCGCACGTTCAGGCGGAAACCAGGGGGGCTTTCTGAATGTAAATACACCCTAACTTCATCCTGGTGCTCCTACTCATGATGGGTGTTCAAGGGGGAATTCAGGTCTTAATATTCGACTCGGGATTCTATGCTTAATTTAAGCATTTCGGGAAACTCGTCCATTACGATTGACACATTGTATGTCTTGATGCCACCCTCTTGTTCCGTGTGGAAAATACAGTGGATATATCCATGGCTCAACATTCGGATCCATAGTGCTAACGTAAGTCAATTCTCGCGTCTGTTTATTACGTACGGAAACGTATGACTCTGGAATTTCACCATCAGCCGTAGTAGTGAATATTGCAGCAACTTCATTTATTTTCTGGACATTGTATCTCCTATTATCGAGACCAGGTTTCAAAGAAAATAATAGTTGCATTTCGGGTTCTACTCCTGAGCCCGAATTGATCGTTGCCTGTTGCAGTTCTTCATGCATCATTCTGTAGGATTGTGTAAAAATGTTGGATTCTCGCAAAGCATTGTCGATCGCTTCTACTAATTCTGAATTCAATGTCGACATTTGATCACATCGATGTTGCGTCGCTTCTTCTTGATCAATAATGAAAAGCTGACCATAAGACGGACTATCATTCAAAGGAGGATATAAAGAAGTATTGAATTGGTAATAAATCTGTCCATTTATCTTGAAGCAATATGGACCAGGTCTTCTTTCGTTGAAGTGGACTAAATTTGCGTTGAAAGACGCGAATACAAAAGAATTGTTATAGCTACGTATATGCTGATGGAATGATTAGATTGTTCATGACTACCATCAAATAAATCTTGTAGAACCTGCGGTGGCTCGGGTAGGGGTTCCAAATTTACCTCGCCATGACTACAGCAACTATTAAATGTTGTTTTTCCAGAAACTTTCTCGCTTGCAAAATGTTTCGCATTGCAATAACTACATAAGACATTCATGGGCCCTATGTAATGTTCTTCGATATTCTTAGTTGATTCTACGTACATTGGAATATTTAGATTTTCAGAGAGTATGTGAACTCGTGCATGACGAATCTCATCGGTAGGTGAGGATTCAATGTCAAGGACAGTGGGAGTTGGATATGAAAATGACAATGAAGTTCCTAGATTAATCATTGAGTCTTGTTGCCTCGCAAGATTACGATCAACACACTTTTTTTGACGACATTTTCGTTGTTGGGCTGCGTTTTTTTCACGCCTAATTCTCTTCAATTCTGCTTCTTCCTCAGATGTCCTTTGAATTTTACGTCTCGGCATATTGGAATCACAATCAATTTTTATCTTATCAATTGGAACTTTATTCGAACCTCGAAAATGAAGAATAATTTGATGAATAGATCAAGTGCAATATTTCTTCTCAAAACTCTCTGCAACCCAGAAATATCAATTTTGGATGTAAGTTCTTATGGAAAAGCGCGGAAGTAGATGAATGGCGCGTTAATGTGAACAATCACTACGTCAATAAAAAATTTTGTACCTCAAAATTGATAACAATTCTCTTTTTTTAAGCTCAAATAGACATTTAGCTTTCATTCATTTAAATTATAATTTAAATGAAATAGTTTTCCAACAGAATCGATATTAATATTACAGAATCGATATTATTAATTTTCCAATTTGTATTGAATTATTATAGTTGTATATACAAATGAATTATAGTTCAGTTCTCGTAATCGGAAGAGAAATGTATCCAGTGAAAATCTTTGTATCTGTATAATCTGAGGATCAGTTAGTTTTCTTTATTCTGTGAAAGTCGTATTTTCCTTTAATTTAACGATCTCTTTTGTTCTATTTTGTTTTTTCACTTCGTTCACCAGATTCGTTCTGTAGATATTTGTTTTTATATTACAGTCTGGAGTTTGCTTTTTTGGTTATTGGTTATGGTTGTTGTAGTCAGCGTAAATTCTTCTGGGAAAAACGTTCACTATTTTGAGTATTTTTCCTCGAGGGATGAAAATGATTCACAGTAGAGTTTTTATGGTTATGGGCTGAAATTGAGTATGTACATAAAAACGAAAAATCTGAAATCGTAGGTGAATGTATTTATTCATGGGAAAATTTATTCATTTTATTATTTTACATGAATTAAGAGTATAATTTCTAAGTTAATCTAATATATATAATAAATATAATATTTTTCGATTTTCCAACGTCAAAGCCTGCTGAGTGAAACCTGAAAAATGAATAATAATACTGTTAAAGCTTCATGCTGATGACATTGCGTTTCATTGAAAAGAATAAATTGAAATTGAACTCACCATAAATATTAAAGCAAAATTCTTACAAAGTTATCACGTCAATGAATTTTATTAGATGACAATTCAAAAGATTCCAGTAAATTGACACTGTAAACAATATACAATTTAATTGTTACAAACGGAGAGACAAAAATGAAAGGGGAGGGAAATCTTTTGGGAAATTGATTGCGAAATAAATTTTTGTTTGAACAATCTTTCTGGGAAAATTTTCAACTATCTCATTTGAAATGAATTCAACTCTGGCTTAAAATATATACATTTTGGTGTCATGTTGTTGAAATGGAAGATAATTATGAATAATATATATAACCATTCATTTGATTTTTCATTTAACTTCGTTGAAAATTTCATTTCTCTCCTGTGAATGATGTTTGTTATGCATTCAATGATGTAGAATAAAAATTTATTGATAACATTTGATTTGATTGGGGTGATAACCCGATTCAATTATCAATTGATAAAATATAAAAAGTGAAAATTGAAAACAACATACATGGTACAGAAAAAATAAACAGAATATCTATTCGAAAAGATATTACTATAAGTTATTTGCAAATAAAAATAATTATAGGGGAAAGGCGGATGAAACGGACCTTTATGATTTGTGAAAGAATATTAGTAACTCATAAAATTGTTGATGAAATGAACAAATAATGAATGAATGAATAGCTTTTTTTCACCTGAAACTATGATCTTTCTGCTTCGAAACCCACCTGGTTTCATCCTGATCAATAAATTCATTGCTAAGTTATTAATGATGGAGTAAAAGTCAGAAAGGTCCGTTTTACCCACCCTTCCCCTACTATATGAAAGACAAAGCAATTTTATACTTGTCTTCCCTTAAAATTATCGAAAGATGAAAACCTGAATTGAACTACTTACGATGATATTTCCTTATCGTGTGTCTAAATCACCCCAAGCATACGCCACTGAATTTTTTTTTTTTTAGGTTAATCGCACACTATTTATCCAATACAATCGACTCATGAGACGACAATGATTTTTCCGAATTTTTAACGTCCTTTTACGATTGAGATATTTACTCAATGCATTTCACTAAATAACCTTAACTGAATAGATTTTATTAATTATATCATCACATATATATCACTTGAATGTTCAATTCCTTCAGCAGGATCTGTGGATATAGTCTTCTTCTTCTTCTTCTTCTTTTATTTTTATGGCACGTACTGAAATGTCTTGCGGCCGTTATCCCTCTGTGGGGACGTTTCTGTATTATAGTGGTTGTCGGTAAGGAAGGATATGGATGGAGAGGGAAATATGAGTTATAATAATTTATAATAATTTTTTAATTGACTGAAGATAGTTTGTAATGATTTAACATAATTTGGATGGGGGATTCGTTAGAAGTTTAGTTATATTGAATGATGCAATTTTCAATTTTTCCAAGGCCTTAATAAAAACAGTTCTTTCCTTTGTATACAGCGGACATTACCAGAATACGTAAGCAATTGTTTCCATCTGTTTGCAAGCACAAAGTGGGGAGGAGTGGATATAGTCGTCACAGTATGAGTCTCGTCCTCAATTTATCCCCCCCCCCCTCTTCCTCGATAGTCTCGGTCTTCAACGTAAGAGTGGGGATATGCAGGGTAGAATCGACGACCAGACTCCCACGGTTGGACTCAACTATTTTCTCTCGTCATGCTTCATGTTTTCATGTGAGTTGAAGAGTTTTTATGAACAACAACTTCTGACTTCCTCCATTCAAATCTAATACTGAAAAAACAGTTTGAACGAAAATCATAATTACTTAAATTATACTATTGAACTCGTATCATTAGCTCATTATAACACTTTATTTTTTCATCATCAGAATATAAAACGCAGACAGTTTGAAACATTTTTTTAACATAATTTTTTTTATCGAGTAGATACTTAAATTATACTATTCAACTTGTATCATTAGCTCATTATAACACTTTATTTTTCATCAGAATATAGAACGCAGACAGTTTGAAACAGTTTTTCAACATAATTTTTTTTCATCGAGCGTATGAAATAAGCAGCATCAAAGAGCTTCACACATGAAAGTAATGTAGATTTGAACACAAAATTTCAAAGGGAATCAACTCTTAGTTTTTGCACAATAAAATAATAATACTCCATAGAACCAGGCGCATGTAATTTTTAAACATCATGTATAAATATCGCGATATGATTCATAGACATGAAACATCACAGGAATGTTGTTTACATATAGAATTATCATTATTCAGTCAAGGATATTTTACAGTTCCTACTGCATTTGTCTATTTTTTATATTAAAAATATGAGACTAAATATACTTTAAAAAAACCTTATAAGTATTTTGTACTCGTGACTCTACAATCATACATTAAATATTTATTTGGATTAAACGTTTTTCTCGACTCAAACTTCTTTTTCAAAGATGAAAATCAATTTTTTTTTTCAAAAACTCAGAATTCTAATAAATTAAACGTTATAATTATATATCACAAAGAGACACCCAGCCTCACTTTTCTAGTTTCTAATATTATTAATAAATATTCTTCTCTATAATAGAATCTGTCATATTGTAATCATGAATCTTATCGCGATAATTATAATTATGATTTTTGGGAAGATTCAAATTTCCATGGTTGAATCATTGGATGTTGAATTTTCTTTGTTATTTTCGTCATGCTTGGTACGTTTCGGTTGTGATGATGGACCTCCCTCAGTCGAGTGTCGTTTAGAAAGAGCTGGAATAACTGCTTCAGCCATTTCTTCTTCAGTGGCTGTCATTCCTTCAATGATGTGGATATGTTTCATGTCAGGCACTTCGAAATACATCCCCTGATTCTTTGTTGTCTTCACTTTACCCATCAATTTTACACACATTCCGTACTTCAAATTCTCATCCGGTGTGAAATGGGCAATTTGAATTGAGAGTCGGTAATCTCCGAACACGACGCATCCGCCTCCATACGATGAAGATTGGAATGTAACTGTGACGAATTCACTTCTGATATAGCCGATAACAGATACAGGACCCTTCACAACATTGAGAGCAGTCATGGAGGTTTCTGGGAAGTTTTCTGGTGCGATCACGGTAGCGCCCTCCCATGAACCCAAGAACTTGATAACACTTGAGATTTGAACATTGAATTCCATATTGACAACGTCTTCGTCTTTGTTGTAATTCGTGTTGGCCTCAGAGATGATCCCCATATTAATGAATATCTTCTGAAAAAATACAATTAAAAGTCAGCTATTTTTTGAATGATTCATTGGGAAATAATTTGCTGTTGTTTATTTCCGTGGGTATCATTTGATAACGTACCTGATACATCAACAATTGAGTAGCATATTTTTTTGCGACGTTTCCCCACATCAGAACCCTGATTCTTGTTCCATCCCCGTTATTGACCACGAATTTGAGCAGGGTTTTACTGCCATTGCTTACGGATTTTATCCCGTCGATTTTGTTGATATAACCACTGAGTATTCTAAAAACGACATTAACCAGTGTTTTTCATATATAAAAAAATCACTTTGAACTGTTTGCCGCAATTTTCCAATGAGAAGGGAGGAGGGGAGGGGGGGGGCGATTTTTCTCCATAAAATTATCCATACCATAAATAAATTACAATTCCACATAATCGGGAAGCTAAGAATGAAAATCGAGTTTATTCTGCATACGTTATATTGCAGTTAGAATAAAGAAAAAAATTTCATTTTATCACCATTCTAGAGATAAAGTTATTAAGTTTTTTTGAAGAAATAAAGATTCACTGATAATTCCAGATTTTATACCAGCAGCAAAAGAAATAAAAGTAACCAAGGGTGTCAACTTAAATCAGAACAAAATTTAAATTGTCGACTTAAATTGACACCCTTTATGAATCATTATTAATTTCGTTAATGATGAATTTTTCGGCAAGAACAATAATGATTTGACGATTTGATTTGATCAATTCACTGAGTTATTAACTTTTTGATTGAATTGAATATAATGAAAAAATTCGCCAAGTATTGGAAATTTTATTTCTGTCAAAAGATTCACAAATTCCATAAATCACAAACTTTTCTGTTTGAAGAAGTCAAAATTCACCATTAATTCAATTTTCACCACTTGACAAAAAAAACAAAACTACTCAAGCAATTTTTTCACTATGACTCAGAGAATAATTTGTTCAATTCTAAAAGCTGCTACTTTTTTCGAAGAAATTCGAAAATTTAACACTTCACAAATGTTTGAAAATAGTAGGAAAATGAAAGGATTCACAGTTTCTTCGAACACTCAACAAACATTTAAAAAATGTAACAAAAAAAATTTACCGCGAAAAAGAATGAACTTGAAGCACGTGGAGAGTGAGGTTAAGTTGATCGATTATAAAAAAAAATAACAAATGTTTGAAAATAGTAGAAAAATAAAAGGATTTACAGTTTCTTCGAACACTCAACAAACATTTAAAAAATGTACCAAAAAAAATTTACCGTGAAAAAGAATGAACTTGAAGCACGTGGAGAGTGAGGTTAAGTTGATCGATTATAAAAAAAAATATCATTGATAAAGCTACTCAAAAAAATACTTACACTGGCGAGTCCCCCTTCTCGAAACAGTCAATTTCTTTCGTTGATGTAAATGGATATTTCCTATCTGACATTGTTATCACTGAATCTATTTTCACTTCTCGAGGAATGATCTGGTGCGTGCAAGGGTTAAATCGGAAAGAAAGAGAATTTCTCTTTCTCTCTCTCTCTTTCTCTATCTCGGAACATTAATACAAATGCTCTGCAGATGGCGCACTTCTGGCCAATCCATCAGAATCCGTCATCGACAAAAATGTACATGTTCATTACAGCCAAATACAATTTTATTTAATTTTACTGCAAAAAACATGTTGAATAAAAGATGTGAAAGATCCTCATTTAATCGAGCCTACAATGTTGCTCTCCAATTGCATCGATCGATGGAAATAAAAGCATCAGTGAACAGTAATGTTTCTTTCCGTTTGAAATTAGCGCCTAAAAAGAAAATGACTAATGGGATTGTGCTGACAGATTTTCGAGATTTCGATTCGATTCGATATATTTGTGTGGCTCTTCTTTTTAGAATAGGATGGTTATTCTCCAGATTGTCAACATGCTGGATTGCTATTCGGTGGGTAGTCTTGGAGTCGAGATTGGTTTCAATGCACATATTCATTAGGACGCGATTATGGTTAATTTTTCAGAAATGAATCGCTTAAACTTCTTACATCAATGCAAAGTATGAGAGCAAATAATAAAAAATTACTTTATTAAATAACAGGGGCGGATTCGGTGCGAACTACATGAATACAAAGGTACAAAAGAAATTGTCGCGTATCTTACATGCGGAACTACATCATGGCACCACTATAACCACAAGCATGGCAGATCTTGAAAATCTTAAGAGCAAATGCACAGCCTTCAAAACACGTTTCATAAAAAGGGTCGAAGAGTGCATCAGAATCGAACATATCGAAGCCAAAGTGGAAACATTCATTCAAAAATTCCAATAATAGGGAATCAGCAACGAGGAACTCTGCGGTTTGGATACTGAGAATACAGAAACCAACGCTAATAGTACTGATGAAATCAAAAAGAGTATAACGTGACATTTTCGCGTGGGGGTTAAAAATGCCCATTACCTTCGCCCTACTTCCCCTAAATCTAATTAAGCACAAAAACTTGAATATTATGGGCGCCAGGTAATAGTCCAGGCGTCAGAGGTATACGCGCGGAAATAATATGTATTGAAGGTTTTATGGTTTCTATCGTTTCTTTAGGATGTTAACTGATGAATATAAAAAATTTAAACTTTTCCTCGCTCCGGAACATATTGTTTAAACAAACAAAAAGGGCGATTTTAGCGTTTTTCTCGATTAACTCCCAAATTTTCCATTTTTGGTCAAAAAACAGAATATAAAAAGATTCCCCACAAAATTCTCTACAAAATATGTATCTATACTTTTTCCGATGAAGATGATAGTTTCGGAGATATGGCCATGTGATATAAAGAGCGCGTCCGACTCGTGCGTTACGTAAACGTTGGAGAGTGCTCCGTCCGCTGGAAACCACGAAGTATAGTGGTGCGTCCTGCACGAAATCGATACGAAGAATATGTCCAACTAAAAAACCTTCATTTTTGCATAAACAATAAATGAAGTGATGAATAATCTTCTGATAGAATGTTGAAACTGCTTTTTTGTAGCAGTGAAATCTCCCTTCGTCTAAGAAGTACTGTCGTCAACTGGAGCTCCATATAAGGAGGTGATTAATTTTTCTTTTGCACTTTGGTCCCATCCTCGAGCAGAATTTGCGGTCAGAAATGGTCAGAAACGGTGAGAAATGGTCCTAATATTGTGTGTAAAACTGGCTGTTTTTCAAGTAATTCTATCATTTTCATTTTACCCATTCCGAAAAATGCAGAGGTTGTATCACAGCCAGTGAAGGCGTGAATGAATAGAATGAATTGCCTGATCGATGGATACTTGAAGCTGTCTGTGCTGTATATCCTTTGTTCAGTTTTACCTCTACTCGGCTTTAAGAAATAGATGTTCGAATCTTCAGAATTTCGAGCTGTCAGTATCACCAAAATATAAATATCTTCTCCTACAATTATAACTTCATCGTAATGGGAAGAAACCTCCATTGCAGTCGTGATAATCAGAGTGTACGCATCCTCATAGGCCTGTTTACACGTGAAACGAGCATCCTCAAGTTTCTTAATCAGTAAACTTATCAGTCTGTTCTTATCATTGTCGTTGGAGAGAAATTTCTCTTGAGAAACCGTTGCTGCCATACTGAGATCAAATAATATGTCAGTCAAAGAATGTTTCTGTTGTCGACGTAATCTTTCAGCATATTTTATGCTTGTCATGGTTGCATCTGCTGGATATCCATCGAATATGATAATGCTTTGAGGTCGATAATATTTCTGAACATATTGGACATATTTCGTTGTTATTTGCTCGAATGTTTCTCTCTGCCGCCACGATACTCGATGCAATAAATAACCCCCATCAATGACATGTATAGAATTGCTGGAAGACAAATTCTTTTCAGCGGGCTCAAAACAATCATACAGAGAAGATTTCGTGTTCTTAAGCATGCCCAATTCATTGAACAACGAGAGTGGGCATGGAGCTAATTCATAATCCAAAAAAGTTTCGAGTTCTTCAGGATTTCTACTTGTTAATGAAATCCTCTGGAACAGCAGTAGAGGGTCCACTGCAATTACATCATCATTTATGTTAATCGAACTATGAGCATTTGCCAGTGAATTTACTCTTCCTTTCCTGGAGCCGTTGACGTCTGCAAAATTCTCCCCGACAGTTTGACTCATCAATTCCACTCCCACTTCATGCGCATTGTGACAGTTGATATCTTCAGTACCTTTTACTCCAGTGCTCAATGATAAGATCTCACGGGTTTCAGGGAAAGGCGGATGAGTGGAAAACCAGTCACTGAATTTTTGAAGATCTTCATTATCTCATTCTATTGTACCAGGTCTAGTATCTGTGTGTTGCTCTGAGGAACCAAATTCAATTTGACAAAATTCACTCATCTTATCCGTCACTTCAATGAGGGTGGGCAGAGAAAGTATCCACTTTGCTAATACACTGTCTGTCGTCCCACGACGATGAGTGAATGCTCCACTGCTCTTCGAATCTTTCATTATGGTTTGTTCAATAGTCATATCAGACCAAATACCACTCCAAAATTTGTCTGAACGTCGAATTGTAAAAAAACCTTGAGTTACGAATTTCTTATACTCGTCAGCAGGAAGTCTCTCTTTCAGTTTGAACATCTCCTGCAGATACAATTGAGCTGACTTTGCAGATGGGAAATGGCCACTTGCATGAAAGAATGGCAACACTCTCTGGATACATTCTAAATGTAATTGCCAGTTCCCAGTTCTCTCAGCATTTATGAATTCCTTCATTATCGTCACCGTTTTAAAATACTGTATCCATAACTTTGACGTAGCTCCCTGATTCTCGAAGTAATCGACAGTGTCCATGAATTTATCCACAATAGTTTTTATGATAGGATCTTCGCATCCCTCTAGAACACTCTCAGAGAACAGTAGATCTTGCATGAATGCGTTGTTCTCTGCAGACAGATTCGTCTTCGCTAGAATAATCTTAGCAAATGACAAATGAACCAGCAGATGTCCTCGAACGGCTCGTGAATAAGCGTGTCCACTGAGCATCTTATCCACAGATATCGAAGCGTAGACAGTACTCAGGATTTCCTTGAGACCACTACCCTGCATGATGAATCCTATTGCTCCTAAGTATGACATCAGTAGATGGAAGCCTCCGAGTCTAATGATGATGTCATATGAGTTGGAGTCGAAAACATCTAAAGCTATCACTTCCCTGGCTTTAAGATAAAGAGGTTGATCGAATGTAACAAAACGAACTTTTTGACCTTGTTTTATACATTCGTCATAGGCTTCATGAAGAGCTGTAAAAATGGTGTCGTAATTACTTGGTGGAGAAGTGATGAACGGGAGGAAAAGTATCCGCGATGTTGAGTAGGGAAGATGAGCAGTGATTCCTTCCATGAATCCGTGCCAGCCTGACAAACTCCGTGACATATCTTTGGATTTCTCATAAAGCCCTGCGAACTCAGATGATGATAACTTTATCCTTCTATCAATTGGATGTAATTCGTCAATATTCTCCACTGTTACTAGAGAGAGACTTCCCTTTGGGTATTTGCCCGGTAATATTTTCAAAGAAGTGGTCCCATGCATCCTAATGTTGTGAGCAGCAGGTATTTTCTTCAGCCTTGGGATACTACCTTCAGTCACCACTGAGGCCTTTGTAGTTATACACTGGACTCCTCCCATTGCATGAAATGTATTGTGACCATCAATCGTAGCAACATTGTCAAAGATGAAATGAATATATGAGTCAGACATGACATGAGTTTGAAGATGCATGATAGCGGAGGTTTCAAACAGCTGGGCTTCTTCGTATATTGCTGAAACACCTAATGAGGACAACAGATTCAGGAATGTTCGAGAGCTATATTTATGATGCAATACAGTTGCCAATCCAAGTTGCAGTGAAGAGATGAACGATCTTGGTCGAGTAGCTACGATAATGGAGTGGCAAATTGATGTAATTTTCGGCATCTATTTTGATAGATCCCCCTTCTTATTTTTGAGGATTATTGTCTCCATCAGAATTTTCAGAGTCTCAGGTACATCACTGTTTACATTTTGCAAAAACTCATGAGGTGATGGATACTTATCAATATCATACACTATTGATCTGATGTTGTCAAAAATGATATGACCGGCTTCGTGTGCGACCCTTCTTCGCTCTTCTCTGGAATCTGCATTCCTTCGGATATAGAATGCATCAGCAAGAATCTTTTCACCTGTGCAGATTAAATGAAAAAATATATAATTTTTTGTAACAATAAAGAAATGAATTGAAAGAACGAATAGAAATGAAATTTAAATTTAAAAAAAAATGTCTGACCTACGGCTCGGAATGAAATGATTGGTCCCTGTGGATTGAATGTGATCATGAGCTCATCAGCATATTTTTCTTCCAATTTCCGTTTGATTGTCTTTTCACGGGGAGTTTCACCATGATATCCCTTCATTATCTCATGCAAAGAAAACTGACAGTAATCTCGATTTTCTTCGAGGTAGGTGGAGATAAAATCGATTGTTTTCGAGGTATTATTGTCAAGAGGGCAGCCGGCGTGCTGGTCAGAATTCACACGTAAATTGAATTTACTGCAACATGACCCATGATACCTCCCCTCAGCTGCAACGAGATCGCCACCGCCAATTCGGTGCATCACCTTTCTTCTCCACTCATCGTTCCTCTTCTCAGCTCTCTTTATCAGGTTTGTCTTAAAGTCGAGAGTAGATACATGTCTCACTACATCTCGGCCACTGGATTTTTTATTTTCATTTGCTACATATTTTTTTGAAGCATCTTTCCCACAAAATAAACAGTAGTTTAAAAAATTGATATGACCTTAGCCGACAGATGATTGATTATGAAAAAAAAAAAAATTCAGGTCGTTTGTACTACGTCTGTATATGATTGTTCTAAGATCAGAACCGTTTGTTCCTCTTCCAATTATTTATTAAAAAATAATGAAAAAATGGCCCATGTACTTGGCCGACAAACATTAAAAATTATGTTTCCCTGTTTTTTGGGATTGTTAGGACCTAGAATCGTTTGTATTTTAATTGTTTGTCAATTTTATCGTTTGTTCTTGACAATTTTCTAGTTATTTATTGTAATTAGAATAATTCAGTTCTGACTCGTATACTGGCAACGGCGGACCACAGGTGGTACCTAAGATGGCGGACGATACCACCTGCCAGCACCCTCCTTTTTTGAACATTCCATTATCAATATTAATCATGAAGCAAAGGGTGCAATAGTTCTTCATATCGGTTGATTACAAATCTTTTCGTTCCATATAACAGTGATTTAAAGTGTACAAAGTGCTCTCAATAAATTAAATACATCCGCCATAACCTCCAATTTATACATTTTGGAGCAGACCAGCTTAATTGACATGCGATCAAATTTTTTAACTCAAGTGATCCGACGAATACCCATGAAAATTCATTGGAAATTAGGATAACAGTGAAGACAGGTGAGTTTCAATTATCATTAAAGTATGTCATCAGTAAGGTTGTGGAACGACGAGGTTAGGGATGAGGAATCACTTCTCCTCGAAGATTAGTTTTTCAAGTATTTGAAAACACGAACGTACAGCAGTTTTCTCTTTATAGCCCCATTGACCGTCCTATTTACTATAATTGATTTACATCTAATCTTACTCATACAAAAAAAAATACTCAAAAAAATCGTGTTACAAGCATCATCAACTACATCATCAACGTCTTCGTTCCTCATCCAGAATGTAGAGCACTTACAGCCTCCGATAGTCTATTTTGTTGAATGCTGCACTGCCGGACACACATCAACCTGTAGTCAAACTATAACCCTTTTTAATCCCAATTTCAGGGATGTTTTCCACGTTTCACCTCTTAGGACGATTTTGGTCATGGAAGTAAGGCCAACACTCTGATCACTGGGACCTTTCTCATTCGAAATTAAGGACTCCAAATTTTCAGACATAGGAATATGCTAGAGGGACTGATAGTGTACGCTTAGAAAGGGCTGACTCGCCATTTTATGGCATCAGCGATCCATCCTGATGGATCCAATCCATTGACTTCATCCAAAGCTTCGGTAGAAGGGCCCCGGGACTACAAGAAAAGGTCTTCGATTTAGTCAACGTCTTATACGCATTAGGTGTCAATACACAAGCTGAGAAGGACGAGGAGAACACCACGCAACTGAGCTACCACCAATCAAGGACCATTTTCTATGTGAAGGGGTTGGCCCTTGACTCCATCGTCATTTACTACCCTGAGGAATTCAACTGGCCATTAAGATGTCCAATCAGTCCTTTATAGTTGAGGCACTGTTGTTGATTCTTTGCTTCTCAATCAAAACCCTACGTTTCTCCATTTTTCACCAGCAATTATTCGATGTCATGTATATGAGAAGGTAATTATGGAACCAATGGGATTTCAGAGAGGCTTGGATGCACTGTTATTTTTATCATCGTGAAAATACTGATAATGAGAAAATAGGGTGATTTGAGAGATTGTTGATGATAGTCTTGCTGATAGTTTTAGTAATGAGCTATTTTNTAGTTTTAATAATGAGCTATTTTGGGGGAAGATCTCGGAAAATATTTCTTACGGGAAATTATGTCCACTAAAAACAAGACACTTTTGACATTTATTCATAAATCGAATAGTTTCAGAGATCTTTAAAAATAGTTCTACCATTTCTGTAATAAGCGAACAATATAAGAAATGTAATTACTATACTTGCAGTGATTGCAGGAGAGACAACTCGGAGAAAATTTTGGTACTTCACCGTAGCAAGGAAATGCCAATATTTATCTTCGCTTGTGACAAAAGAAAGGGAGAGCTGGAGAGTAAGACTCACCGATGACTTAGAAATAGAGTGACCCAGCAATAATACATAAAAGTGTAGATCTATCAAAATGAGCTCCTTATTGAAATCTATAAATTTCTACTTGTCGAAAATGATAGTCGAATGAAAAATGAAAAGTCAGGCAAGTGAAAAGAGAAAGTATCAAAGATTTCCATCATTGAAATTAGGTGATATATTTAAAAAAATTAGAAATGAGTCTCTGAAAATTAGCAATAAACTGCATTCGAGAAGTCACCCCGTTGAATTTTATAGTCGTTCATTTCTAAAATTCGAGAAGAGATTCATCTGAATTAAGAATTAATTACAGAAAATGAGTGAGATGTATCTAAGAATCAAACCTTTATTTCCTTTTTGATAAATTCTAAAAAATATACTGAGATCATTGTTTCACATTTCATGCCTACAAAAAAGATATCAACCATTTTAGTATCTCTCACATTCTGAGAATATTCAACAAAAAATTGAGTCATATCAACTCATGTCGTTTTGATATTTACTGAGTATCAAATCGTAACTAATAAGATACTTTCATCGCTTGCAAAAAAATCAGCAATAGAATTATGGAAATGAGCTCAGTATTTCACTTCCAGTACGTAAATATGAAACAAAAGAGTTGAATTAATGCGACGAGATAATGAATTAATACTAAAATCAATTTTCATATCATTAGATGCTTAACAGTGTTTTGGCACTTTGGCAGTATTCATGGCTAAACTAATAAAATTCAAACTTGACGAAGTAACGACGATTAAACTCGCTTTCTCATGCTTCCATTCGTCTACAAAACATTCCTACTCAACAGCATCACATGGCCCGACGGATCCAACGTACATAATTGCAGAACGAATTGACTGACATTTTAAATAACAATTCTTTACAATCATAGCTTCACTGACATTTCAAATAACAATTCTATACAATCATAGCTGGAAAAGTTTCATATAAAAAATGTGTCTTGACATTTGAAGGACAAGGAAAAACCTGGCCAGGTTCAGTAGAAGTGAGAGTATCATGAATAGTTTTAAAAGAGAATGTCAAAAATCCTTTCATAGAGGTCCTTTTCGAACAAAAAAACGTCTATTGATATTTCTATTCAACACGTCTATTGTTATTTATCCCACAAATAACCAATTATTCAGTTTACTTCATAATTCCGTGATTCAACATTCGTGCATTGAAAATTTCATTTTTCTATTTTTTGTTCTCTAGGTCAACGAAATAACATCTCGCATCCTTCGCTAATTGGTGCAACACCTTGGAAATTGGCGCAGATTATGGTAAAAGCACTATGATCTATGAGCCTGCTATTTTTCGTGGCTTCCTTAAAGAGACCTTTCTTTATCAGAACACTGCACTATATTTATAATAGGTACTAATGAACATAATAATTAATTACTCGAATTATCCTTTTCATGAAATTATTCAGGATGACAGACCAAAAATTAATACTTTTTCAGATATTAGAGCCTCCTTACCAAGTGCTTGTATCCAGCTGAGGACATTAAAAATCATAATCGCGTAAAATTTGTGTAAAAATGAAATTTTAGTTTACAAAAAACTTGTCATTGGAAAGTGGTAGAAATTAACTCACATGAATAATAAATTGTAATGACAACATATTCTCGTGGCATTTTCACTCCAGACATATTCTAATGTAATTTCCAGCATTACAATGCTCTACCCCAAGGTAATTTGATTTACTTTGAAAGGAAAGGTGAATGAACAAACTTTGATTAAAAATTGATATTTGCATGGACTGAAAATGAACGCCAATAAATTTGAAATTCTGATGTGATTGACAACAATATTACTTGAAAAAAAATCTTGTGTTTCCTGTCTCTATCTTCAATTTTTAGCATTGGAGTTCACGACTGATCAACAATTAGTAATTCCATTCAATATAGAGTATTGTTTTATGAACAAAAAAAGAAAACAAAAAGAAATACTTCAAAATATACCACAAATGATATTGCTGTTGTAAAATACCATGTAATCTACTCATGGTATTTGCACCAAGGAAAACGCTTGATTGTTTAAAGGTTTTCGAACTTCGCTTGCATCTTCAGTGTCTTGGCCTCGTGTCCCTCCTTCGGAAGGAAAATGCCCTGGTTCTCCCAAGCTATTTTCACGATCTTTTGCTGATGCTCGTGTAGCAGTTGTGGTTCCAGCGTTGACCCAGGTCCTTTGCTATTTCCTCCCAGATTGGAGAACTTGAGGAGTGGAATTGGAAGTAGTCGATGTCCTGAAGCAATCGCGTTGTCTCGAGGGCTAATGACAATCAAAGCATCTTTGGAGTGGGGTGTTTGGAGTGCTCATAAGATCACAGATCAGCTATTTCCGATGAATTGTTCGATTAAATAATAATGATGAGACCTTTTCCCTGTCAAATTTCACTCATCCTGAGCTCTCGTACGTCATTTTGCGTTCTCAGAAATAATCTTAATATAAATTGCACTGATGGGTCGGACTTGTTCTTCAGGTTTACATGCACGTACAGAGGATTTTATATCGTCGAATTCTTGCCAGTGTCCTGACGCTCGACGACAAAAAGCTGTGAAATGGTCTTCATGCTCAACGATAACACCAACGAGTCTAGAAACGTAATGAAGAAAAATTAGGAGTGAAGTGATAAAATGAGCTAAAGTGGTAGAATGATTACATTTTTTCAAAAGTCCGTAATATTATTACTACCACTTGCAGATTACTGTAGAAATGTAATTAATGTAAAAATAAAGGTAATTTCGGAAAAGAATATAGACACATAGTTTTTTTCTTTCACCACTGGAATTAAAATGATTTATGTAAGAGAAAATTTAGAGAAAAAAATTTTCAAATCGTCTGTGACTAAAAATAGTACGTGCGCGTTAGCACAATCTATTTCTGGAGAATGTCTCAAATTGTGATGAAAATAGCAGGATTTGCGTAGAGAGCTCTTTTGTAGAAAAACATTATAGTTACAAATAAAGTTTCCCTGGAAATTTCACCATCTTCATCAGATTCACAGTTATTAATTGGAAATTCAGGCAGGAATTGAGCAAACATCGGGTATTTTTCCAATGCACTACTGCACATAGAGATTAAAATCTAGAAAATTCACGTTGTACGCGTGCTTCCAATAATATAAACTTAAAAAAATGTATACAAAGCGAATGTATACACCTCACCTGTACGTGGTGTCCAAAGTCAGCTGTACTGGAATAGTATTCAAGCAGACGCTTATCGGAGATGAATTGTAGTCAATCCTTGTCCCAAGTTCTACATAAATATGATTGTTACCCTGTGCTGTTTCAGTGCAAGTAGAGTATCCACATCTACACTTTTTGTCGCAGATGACAGTCTGAAACTCTAGAGCTGGCTGAAGGGACTTGTATCCTTGACGACGGATGATTGAATGATCAATCTGGATCGAATAATTGTGTTCGCTATCACCTGAACAAATGTTTAGTTTGCACACAGAAGTGTGGAAAGTACTGGGATAAGACACGAACAATTTTGACCACAAATCGGTGGGGTTGTCAGTGGCCACATAAGACGTTACGAAAGCCAGGTTTTCTGCACTAGTCACTGATTTCGTACTCTCATAAAATGGTTTAAGTAAGAGGAAGCGTTCTTTGTATAAATCTGCTGTGACTCCTGTCTCTCGTAATTTCAATATGAATGAAAAAGTTTCATTGTAGACACCCTCCATGAAACTTCGATAATGGCAGTCATCCAGAGCTGCTGTCAGCAGAATAGATGCGAGGGAATCGAAAGCACAGGTTCTCCTCATGAAGTACACCTTACCATCGATCTTGTAAGTGCCATAGTGCACCGCATTCCTCAATAAGTAATTCCGGCGCTTGGTTCTACCTTTCGAAGGTATTTCGTGCGAATTCTTCTCCTTATTTGCCGTGAAATCCACAACGGCTTCTGGACATGACATGAAGAATTTTGCAATCGAAGGTTTTTTCGCTCGCGAATACGTCGGATTTTCTTCACGTCCTCGATCATTAGATCCGCTTAGAACAGGAGACGGTGTTTCAGGTACATAGAACCCACCATCATTATTGATAGACTCATGAAGTGCATTGGAGGTCTCGTCAGCCTCGGTAACCCCATGTGGCGCTGTCACGTGTGTCTCATTCTGTTTTTTTCTTGACCGAGAAGGTTTCTCAACAGGTGTCTGTCGCATCATGGCCTGATCTGGAGATCGATTACTTGAATTCCCGGGGGGAGTTGATAGAGTAGTGGAATTTCCTGGGTTTGAAGAATTAAACAGTGAGTTCGAGCATGCAGGAGGGGACATTGGCAGATTAGACGAGGTGGATGTGTTGATACTTTCGATGTCGACACGTGAACCAGAGTGGGACTCATTGGATCCATCCCCACATTCTTCTGTTGATAACTCGGGTTCTTCAACAGAATACTCTGTCGTCTCTAGATCTCGGCATTTGAATCGAGTGTAGCTTGTCCCTTTATTCCGCCAATTCTCCTCAGCTCGTGAAATTGAATCACAAGTGGAATGCAATTACTAATTGTTAATTAGTTGTGAATTTCAATNGTGAACCAGAGTGGGACTCATTGGATCCATCCCCACATTCTTCTGTTGATAACTCGGGTTCTTCAACAGAATACTCTGTCGTCTCTAGATCTCGGCATTTGAATCGAGTGTAGCTTGTCCCTTTATTCCGCCAATTCTCCTCAGCTCGTGAAATTGAATCACAAGTGGAATGCAATTACTAATTGTTAATTAGTTGTGAATTTCAATTACTATGGTCAATCAAATCAGAATTTTAAACTTTTTAGCGTTCATTTTCAGTCAGATAGACATCAATTTTCAATGACAATTTAATCATTCATTTTTCTTCCAAGGCAAGATTAAATCACCATTTGATAAGGCATTGTACTCCGAAAAAAGTACATTAGAATATGTGTGGTGTGAAAATGCCACGAGATTATGTTGTAAATAGAATAGATATATGGTAATTTCAATTTATTATTAATGTGAGTCAATTTCCATTAGTCCTGAATGACACGTTTTTTTGAAAATATATCCATCATGAACTAAAGTTGGATTTTTACACGAATTTTTCATGTGATTATGATTTTCAATGTCCTCAGCCGGATACAGGCACTCGGTGAGAAGGCTCCAATATCTGAAAAAATATCAATTTTTGTTCTCTCATTCTAAATAATTTTATAATATGGTCGAGTAATTAATTATTACGTTCATAAGTACCTGTAATAACTATAGTGTAGTGTTCTGATAGAGAAAGGTTCCCTTGGCGAAGTTACAAAAAACAGCAAGCTCAGAGATCATATTAGTCTGTCTAATCTGCGCTAATCCCCAAGATGTTGCACCTGCCAACGAAGTATACAAGATGTTCTTCTGTTTACCTAGAGAACAAAAAATAGATAAATTAAATTTTTGATCCATGAATGTTGAATTACAAAATTTTGGAACAAATTGAATAATTGGTGATTTGGTTTTCCCTTCAAGTGAGTTTCTTTCCTTCCTTCAACGACTGCATTGCAGGAAATTGCAAGTGGAAATGAAAAAAATCGTGACAACCCGAAAGGGATATGCAAGAGGAAAACAATTGACAAAGAAAAACTATTCATTCAGAAAAATGAATAAATGAATGAAATTCCTCATGAATGGCCCTAGGCGAATGTAAAACTAAGTGAGAAGAGTTATCTGAGAAGGAGTTAGAATAAATTCAAACAGCACTAAGTCCTCATGATATCATGATTTACCATTACGATACGACTCCCTCGTTTGGCTGTGTAGACTTCCTCCAGTGGCTCTGTAGACTCCTCTATCACTGCCTCGTGATGATATTCAATAGATAACAAAAGTAGTCTTCTGCTTACTAACTCCATTTCCAGTGCGATGTTGATTTCAGGCCTGAGTTGGACACTTGAGACGAAGACCTGGCGTGTCATTATTGTAGCTATTGACGGAATATGCTGGATGTAGCTTGCATATACAGGCTGGACACTGCACAGTACTGGAATATTTGAATTTGAAAATGTACTCTTGCTTATATAGATTAACTTTTTGTCGAGATATTTCATACATTCAAAATTCTTTGAATGATTTTGAAACTAATTTTTTCACTCGCTCATTCCATTCATTTGATCATATCATTTCGTGTCGTCCAAAACCTTTTAAATACTCATAATTTTTATCTTCAAATTTGAAAGATTAAGGAATTTCCGCAGTAAGTATACCTGGTAAAAATTTCGCAATAGTTTGAAGCAACAATATTTGGACCATATGTTGTTGACCACATTGAAAAACCATTTCCAAAATTTCGAGTTGATTTTCCACGCGAATTTTCGAGAAATGCATCGTCAAAAATTGAAAAAGCGCCAAAAATGAAAGATTGACGATGTATATTTCGAAAATTCGCGTGGAAAACCAATTTGAAATTTTGGGAATAGTTTTTTAATGTGCTCAATAACGTATGGTCCAAATATTACGGCTTTAAACTATCGCGAAATTTTCATCAAGTATACGTATTGCCGAACTTCGTTAAGTAAAATTCCTGATAGTTTTCAAAGAAATCCGCCTAATTACACCAGGCCATTGAATGATGATTTTATTATTCAACGAAAATGTAGAAGTTTATCTACCAAACAATCAATTGTACTTTCTCTAATTTACCTGAGATCCACAGATATAACAACCAGTAATTTGGTTCGGAGTAAGTGGTTTGAATTGCGAGTCATGATTAGAACTTTTATGTATTATTCCTGGGTCGCTCTATTTCTAAGTCATCGGTGAGCCTTACGCTCCAGCTCTCCCTTTCTTTTGTCACATGCGAAGATAAATATTGACATTTCCTTGCTTCGGTGAAGTACCAAAATTTTCTCCGAGTTGTTTCTCCTGCAATCACTGCAAGTGTAGTAATTACATTTCTTATATTGTTCGCTTATTACAGAAATGGTAGAACTATTTTTAAAGATCTCTCTGAAACTATTCGATTTATGAATAAATGTCAAAAGTGTCTTGTTTTTAGTGGACATAATTTCCCGTAAGAAATATTTTCCGAGATCTTCCCCCAAAATAGCTCATTATTAAAACTATCAGCAAAACTATCATCAACATTCTCAAATCATCTATTCTCATTATCAGTATTTTCACGATGATAAGAACAACAGTGCATCCAAGCCTCTCTGAAATCCCATCGGTTCCATAATTACCTTCTCATATACATGACATCGAATAATTGCTGGTGAAAAATGGAGAAACGTAGGGTTTTGATTGAGAAGCAAAGAATCAGCAACAGTGCCTCAACTATAAAGGACTGATTGGACATCTTAATGGCCAGTTGAATTCCTCAGGGTAGTAAATGACGATGGAGTCAAGGGCCAACCCCTTCACATAGAAATGGTCCTTGATTGGTGGTAGCTCAGTTGCGTGGTGTCCTCCTCGTCCTTCTCAGCTTGTGTATTTACACCTAATGCGTATAAACGTTGACTAAATCGAAGACCTTTTCTTGCAGTCCCGGGGCCCTTCTACCGGAGCTTTGGATGAAGTCAATGGATCGCTGATGCCATAAAATGGCGAGTCAGCCCTTTCTAAGCGTAGACACTATCAGTCCCTCTATCATATCCCTATGTGTGAAAATTTGGAGTCCTTAATTTTGAATGAGAAAGGTCCCAGTGATCAGAGTGTTGGCCTTACTTCCATGACCAAAATCGTCCTAAGAGGTGAAGCTTGGAAAACATCCCTGAAATTAGGATTAAAAAGGGTTATAGTTTGACTACAGGTTGATGTGTGTCCGGCAGTGCAGCATTCAACAAAATAGACTATCTGAGGCTGTAAGTGCTCTACATTCTGGATGAGGAACGAAGACGTTGATGATGTAGTTGATGATGCTTGTAACACGAGTTTTTTTGAGTATTTTTTTTTGTATGAGTAAGATTAGATGTAAATCAATTATAGTAAATAGGACTGTCAATGGGGCTATAAAGAGAAAACCGCTGTACGTTCGTGTTCTTAAATACTTGAAAAACTAATCTTCGAGGAGAAGTGATTCATCATCCCTAACCTCGTCGTTCCACAACCTTACTGATGAAATGCTTTAATGATAATTGAAACTCACCTGTCTTCACTGTTATCCGAATTTCCAATGAATTTTCATGCGTATTCGTCGGATCACTTGATGTTAAAAAATTTGATCGTATGTCAATTAAGCTGGTCTGCTCCAAAATGTATTAATTGGAGGTTATGGCGGATGTATTTAATTTATTGAGAGCACTTTGTACACTTTAAATCACTGTTATATGGAACGAAAAGATTTATAATCAACCGATATGAAGAACCATTACACCCTTTGCTTCATGATTAATATTGATAATGGAATGTTAAAAAAAGGAGGGTGCTGGCAGGTGGTATCCTCCGCCATCTTAGGTACCACCTGTGGTCCGCCGTTGCCAGTCTACGAGTCAGAACTGGATTATTGTAATTACAATAAATAACTAGAAAATTGTCAAGAACAAACGATAAAATTGACAAACAATTAAAATACAAACGATTCTAAGTCCTAACAATCCCAAAAAAACAGGGAAACATAATTTTTAATGTGTGTCGGCCAAGTACATGGGCCATTTTTTCATTATTTTTTAATAAATAATTGGAAGAGGAATAAACGTTTCTGATCTTAGAACAATCATGTACAGACGTAGTACAAACGACCAGAATTTTTTTTTTTCATAATCAATCATCTGTCGGCTAAGGTCATATCAATGTTTAAAAAATCGAATGACTCCGTTCGAGCCGGTCGACTCGTGCCGGGGCTGGAGTTTTGAAGACTGTTTACGGCTGCAACAATATATTTCTCCACAATGAACTTTGCTCTACATCGGACGTGCACTTGAATAGATGATCGGTTCTCTAAAACTTTATGTTTATCGTCTTTTCGTCTGAGGCTCGATGCAATAAAAGTCTTTATTCCCCGTATTTTAACTGTCTCACACTCACTCTCAGATCATTCTTTCGGACATATAAAACACGATTTTTCTAAATTCATTTGTCCAGTGTATACGGCGGTGGTTTGCGTGGTACTGAATAGAACTAGTCGAAACACGTTTTTTCCCCCTCCTTATTGGCCCCCCTCTGACCTGAAGGGACTCATGGGAGTCGCAGGGAGAAAAAACCTGCACCATCTGCCTTTTTTTGTATGGAAAAATACCATAACGACGGAACAAGGCTCGGTGAGGCTCGGTGTGGGCGCAACGTGAGAGTAGCTGGCTGAAGGGCGCTCGAGCTTGAATATTTGCACGCTTATAGCATTGAATTTATCACTCTCATCAAAAAAATTGTAAATACCTTGTTTGAAACGCAACTAAAATTCCAGAACATTCTGGTCGACCATCGGCCTACTTCGAAAATCTCCGGGACCCTTCGGGTCATCAGTCATAAGTCACCGAAACATGCGCGAATCAGTTTAGGTTTAGCCTCTCACCGTCCCGAGTGGAAATTCTGTTCAGGTCTCGATCAGAAACTGATCAAGTCCGATCCGAAATTCTGATCAGGCATGTTACCCCTCTACCTTAGGTTTTTCCACTGGGGTTTCTCTGCCTTCCATCATTAGGCATTAATTAAATTTAATTTTTTGAGAGAAAAAATTAGTAATTTTCTAGCCGGGAATCGAACCCGGGACCTCCCAATGTCGCGTCGGGTGCTCTTACCATCTGAGCTACCAGGACACTTACGAATTTCACTCTCAAATTGACTCATACCCGAGTGGAAATTCTGTTCAGGTCTCGATCAGAAACTGATCAAGTCCGATCCGAAATTCTGATCAGGCATGTTACGCCTCTGCCTTAGGTTTTTCCACTAGGGTTTCTCCGCCTTCCATCATTAGGCATTAATTAAATTTATTTTTTTGAGAGAAAAAATTAGTAACTTCCTAGCCGGGAATCGAACCCGGGACCTCCCAATGTCGCGTCGGGTGCTCTTACCATCTGAGCTACCAGGACACTTACGAATTTCACTCTCAAATTGACTCATACCCGAGTGGAAATTCTGTTCAGGTCTCGATCAGAAACTGATCAAGTCCGATCCGAAATTCTGATCAGGCATGTTACTCCTCTGCCTTAGGTTTTTCCACTAGGGGTAGAAGTCCATCTCGAGCAAATCACCTGTAGACATTGTATAGTATCCATTCGTATTTCAACGAGTTCACATCAACTCAGTAGTAGTCTCTCAACCAGTCCACAAGGATTAAGTAGAACTCAACGAGTAATTCAAAGTGTAGTAATTCACCGAATAGTTATTAACGAGTATTAATCAACATTAGTTAGAGTTCATATCGAGAAGTCGATTCAGTCAATTAGCATTCAAAATTGAATACCTTTATTCAGTACATGACCTCTATTGATTAAATTCAGTTTAAATTCAGTGACTCACCAAATTAACGTGCAAAGCCAATCATCAGTGAAATTAGACTCTCACCAGTGAACTTACATATTACCAAAGAGTGTACATAAATTTTGACAAAGTGGTTCGATTCCACAAAATAAAGTGTGATTTTTTAAATCCGGCTCATCAGTAATTTTCCCAACATCTCCCTCCACACTTTCATCCCACATCCACCCTAAATCTAGTCATTCACCAAACATACCTTTTTCGTAGAAAATTTCGTGGAGAATCTTTTTGTATTTCATATTTTTCCACAAAAAAACGATATTTTGGGAGATATTTAAGAAAAACTTTAAAATCACCCCTTTTTTTTTATTTAAACAATAGGTTCCAGGGCGAGTAGGAGTTTAAATTTTTAGTATTTATGAGTTGACATCTTGAAGAAGCGATAGAAATAAAAAAACCTTCAATACATATTATTTCCACGATCGACTGATTTTGAGCCTCTGACGCCTGGCCTATAATTTTTACCCGGAATTACCAAACATGAAAAGTCGACAGAAATACCTCTAACTAACTCAAAGACGTCCGAAACGTATGGAAAAAAGGAGAAAACTAGATTTTCGGGGAATGGTCACGGTCCTCGGGTCGCTCAGTGTGCTAGGTTAAGGAGAGAGGAGTGGATTTCGGGTGGAAATGGGTTATTAGGCAGTCCACACTACAAAAAAAAGAAATCGACATTGTCCTTACTTGTTCTACTATTGAGATTTCACAATTAAATAATTTACATGACTTTTTTTGTATCGTTCTCAAAAATAAAAGGAAAATTTTCAATAATACTCTTTATTCTCCTAACAAAAGCAAAAATAATAAAATCGACTTAAAATACATGGTCACAAAAATAATTCATTATCAATTGACTCGATTGCAAGGTTAAAGGAATCAAATTCCTCAGGTGTCAGTGAAAAACACGAGGACGATGCGAAATATACGAAAACATTCGTTAATCTTCAACCGCTCGAGAATTCCGATAATGGCAGAAAGAGGTATGCGGACAATCACGAGAGCGAGAGAGAGGAATGATAAACCCACCAACCTACGTATATTCAGGCGCGACGGGGGGGATCTCAGAAATTCATCAGCACTTAACTCATTAAAACTCGAAAACGGTACAGTGAAATTTCAAAAACCCTGAGTCGAAATACGCGGGAGAATCTTCCGATAACTGAATTATAATGTTCACTGGTAATTTAAACAAATTTGTTCGATTTATACTCAAACGGAATTTTACACGCGCGAAAACCCACCTAAAGCGGGAGCTCTGCTTGTTGCACAGAATTCTGCAAAGAGCCGAAAAAGGGGAAAATAATCAATATCCTCAGCTGAAACACGCGGAATTCCCCTCCCTGAGAGCTAGTCCCATCAATGCTAAAACCTCCATAATTAATTATAGGCAAGATCGACACCTCAACATTAATTATCTATCGCAAATTCAAGCCTTTTTTTAACGCATTCAAAGCGAGCCACGTGGCTTAAGGCCTTCGAGGTCGAATAATACCCGCCGAGATGAACTCGGAAAATTCAATTAAATAAACTGAAACTCACTATTGGACTTTTTCTATCCCATTTCGGCATCTTCTTCACCATCTTGGGCCGCCAATAATCCCAGTGGACACAAAAGATTTGCACTGCGCGTTTATGTTCCGCTTGAGTCAACAGGTAAGACAGAACTGACCCAACTCAAGAACAACTCGTGGCACCTCAGAATGTGGAATTCATCGCTCAATCAAAACGATTTTGATTGGTGCGGGCACGCCCCATAGGTGCAAACCTAACGAGAATCACCGATTGCTACAGCGTAATTATTCAAAATTCTCCCAAATCAACTCTAACATTTATTAACTTATTATGAATACTTTAATTAATCATTTAATGGCACCTGGCCAAACTGATGGTCGTTCGGATAATTACTTAGGGTTTTTGGCGCCTCCCACGGATCTGATCTCCGGGATTC